GGGGCCTTCACACTCAGCTGCAACCCAGCCCTCTATTTTTTGTTTTGAGATAGGGTCTCACTAAGTTGCCAAGGCTGGGTTCAAACTTGTGATCCTTCTGCCTCAGTCTCCCCTGATGCTGAATAACAAGCACAGACAACTATGCCCAGTTTAAAAGTCCTTATTTTACTCTAGTTTAAAAATAGTCTCCAGTTCTCTTGCCTGCATTTAACCCAGAAGCTTAATATTTAATGGCTTCATATAAATAGAAATCAAAGCCAGGTTACTTTTACGCAACAGTGGAAACAAGATTCCCTAGGCTTTTGTTAAATTAAGTGTTCATTATTTCTCAGAGGAGCTAGCTGGTCATTAATCAAGATTGTTGAAGTGCTTAGAGAGTTTCACAGGGAATACATCAGCTCTCACAGCCCTGTGCCATGGAAACCAGATGCGAAATAATTAGTGGAAAGCCAGTTAAACAGGAATCTTGGTAATTTCAATTATTCATGTCAATCCTGACCAACACAGAAAATTTGTTTTGTTGTGGTACTGGGGATTGAATTCAGGGCCTTTGCACTGAGCTACATCCTCAGCCCTATTTTATTTTATTTTACTTTATTTTAGTTATTTTGAGATACGGTATCACTGCATTGCCAAGCCTGAGTTCAAATTTGTGATTCCTCCTACCTCAGCCTCCTGGAGTGCTGGGGTTACCATGCCCAGCTTGCTTTTTTTTTTGAAAGATGGTTCATTGAAATTTGATACAATTAAAAACTTGGATATCAACATTTTGCTGATTTCACAAAACATGCTGAGAAGTGATTCTTTTCTTTCTATTCTTTGGAAGAGATTCCCTAAATGTTGGAACAGTTTGGCAGTGGAGCCGTCTGAAGTTGTTTGATCACAGCATTTTTAATTTTGGGATTTAATTTCTTTATCAGATATAAGTATTTTTAATTTTAAAATTCTTTTGTCAGTTTATGTATCACATTTTAAAGCACCTTGTCCTCTTCATTGAAATTTAAAAATTTATGAGCACATAGTTTTTCATGATCTTATTATTATTTATAAAATGTAGATTCAGTGGTGATGCACTTCTGTTTAATTTCTTACATTTGTACCTTCTCTTTGTTAACTTGTCTTTTTGGTATGGTTGGCTTTTTCAATTGGAGATTTCTTTAATTAGATTTTATTGGAACCACCTGAAAGAGTGACTAAAAACTAGGAGGTGTGATAGACATTGTGAAATGAAAGGAAAATGCTCAAAAGTAAAGGGCAAATGGGGTGTGGGAAAAGAGAAGGGGAAATTATGTAAGTATGTATATGCAGAATAGCTAACTAGTTGTGCTACTGTCTTCTGTTGCTCTACAGAAAGGAACAGTTAATGATTACTTATGTGGTCATTCTTGCATGTCTCTATTTGTTTTCCTGAGAAACCACTTTGAAGATATCAATAAGTAATACAACAACCATGGTTAATTTTCTACAACTTTGTCTGTAACTCTGTTTTGTTTGTATTGTTCTTATGCTATTTTGTAAATGGATGTCTGTTTGTTAATATATTTTCTTTCTTTTATTTTTTAAAATAAAAAAAGGTTTTATTGGAACCTTTTAGATATACATAATATCACATTCATCATAGAGAATTTGTACCTGTACGTGATATATCTTGATTCTTCTTTTTTTCCATTTACTTCCTCCTCTTTCAACCCTCCTCTCCCCATTTACAAAGCTTTGTTTCCATGGTTTCCTTTTTCTTTTTTTTAAATTTCCCTTCTTTCCTTTCCCCTTCTCCTCTCCCTTGTTCCCATTTGAATATTTTCCCCCTATTTCACAATATCTATTTCACATTCTGGCCCTTAATTACACTTTCAGTTTCTCACACTGGAGATACAATTCAGTATTTACACACGTGTCCAATTTATTTCTCTTAAGAGCATGGTCTCAAGGTGCATCCATTTTCCTAAAAATGTCTCAAGCATATCCTTCTTTATGGCAGAATAGTACTCCATTGTATTAAAAAAAGCACACTTTCTTTATCCACTCACCAGTTGATGGGCCCTTGAGTTGTTTCCAAGATTTAGTTGTTACAAACTGTGTCGCTGTAAACATGGGCGCACATATATTGCTGTGATATGATGCTTTTAATTCTTCTGGGAAGATACCCAGGAGGGGAATGGTTGGATCAAATGGAACCTCTAGTCCTAGTTTTCTGAGGAATCTCTCCAAAGATTTCCACAGTGGTTGCACCAGTCTGCAGTCCCACCAATAGTGGAGAAGGGTTCCTTTTTCCCTACAGCCCTGTCAGCATTTGTTATGGGTTGATTTTTTGATGATAGCCATTCTTTCTGGGGTGAGATGGAATCTCAGTATTGTTTTAATTTGCATCTCTTAAGGACCAGTGATGTCATTTTCTTTTTTTTTTTTTTGTCTTTTTGAGGCAGGATCTCACTGTGCAGTTTAGGCTGGCCTTTGAGCTCACTTTGTAGCCCAGGCTGACCTTGAACTCCCAACGATCCTCCTGCTTCAGCTTCCTGAGTGCTGGGATTACAGGCGTGCACCACCACGCCCAGCAGTTTTCTTTTATTATTATTTTAATTTTTTTATTTTTGTCATGCTAGGCATTGAGCCTAGGACTTCACACATGCTAGGCAAGTGCTTTACCGCAGAGCTACCTCCTCAGACTCCTTTTATTACTTTGTATTTAAGAAGTTCTTATCTGAATTGATCAAGTTAGGGTTTGTTTGTCTGAGACAAGGTCTTTCTGTATGGTCCAGGCTAGCCTTGAACTCACTTTGTAGCCCAGTCCAGCCTTGAACTCATGGAGATCCTTCTGCCTCAGCATCCCAAGTGCTGGGATTTACGTTCATTTCTTGGAGTTACTGGGGATCAGACCCAGGCCCTCATGCATGCCAGGCAAGCGCTCGTCCACTGAGCCCAGCCCAGCCCCAATGCATCGGTTTGGCTCGTAGGGAAGCACACGTGAAGGAGATAGTTGTCGGCATCTACTGGCCTCCAGGAGGGCTAGAATTACAACTTCCCAAGTAGGATAACTTCTCCATTTCATTTCGACATTTTTCGTTTATGTATTTCACATAACCTTCCATATTTGGGATGGAACCCATGGAGAGATGAACTATACCCACAGCCCTTTTTGATTGTTTTATTCTGAGACCGGGTCTTACTGAATTGCTCAGGCTGGCTTTGAAATTGGGATCCTCTGGTGCCAGCCTCCCAACCGCTGGGATTATAGGCTTGCACCACTAGGCCAGGCTCATGTCACCCCTGTTGCACTGGGGAGAAATCTTTTTTTTTTTTTTTTAGACCAGATGGTGCTGTGCAGTCCAGGCTGGCCTTGAGCTCATGGAAATCCTCCTGCCTCAGCCTCCCCATTGCTAGTGTTATAGGTGCATGCCACCAAGCAC